TTTTCTCTTTCTTTTTTTTTTTTATTGTTTTCTTTTTCTTTTTGCTTTTTATTGTTTTCTCTTTCTTTTTTTTTTTTTTTTTTTTTTTATTCCTTTTGGTTTTTGTTCTAACGCCACGCTTTTTATAGTTTTGCCTGGTCCGTGTAAACGCGTGTACGTGTTAGTTCGTTCCGTAAAAACGATACTGTCGTTGTAACTTATACGCGACTGAACAAATAAATACGTCGATAAACAAACGTTTTTTTTTTTTTTTTTTTTTTTCTTCTTTTCGCGAGAGACGCATACGAAAATATTATTCTTTCTACGATTAAATTTATAGTTTGATGTTTCCATAGATTTTTTTTTCTCACTCTTTCTCTGTCTCTATAAAAAAAGAAGAAAAAAAAAAAAAGAGAATAAAAGAAAAAAAACCGTAACGAAACGTTTATCGTACATGCGTTAGATTGTTTTAACTTGTCAATGTAGTTTTAACACTGAAATATCATGTAATAACTTTCGAAAACATTTTCGTCGTAATATTTGTCGACGATCAAAAACCATTGAATTTTTTCTTTTCATCATCATCATCATCATCATCATCATCATCATCATTATTATTATTATTATTATTATTATTATCATTATCATTATCATTTGATGAGACAAAAAAAGTGTATGTATGAAAATTGTCGGAAATAATAGGAAACTTTTCTATAATGTATCGCGACGTGTGTGTTCTGTCCTTTTACGATGGGAAGTAGTATCGCGAGACGAGGTGTCACAGGCTCAACAGGTTATTCCAGGTTGTCCTGGTACGAGCGTCAGCCGGCTCGTTTTTCTCGTCGAGGGGAGCAACCGATAGTAGAAAGAACGTTCGACGGCTGCTCGATCTCGAGTGTCGATTTGCCCGCGAAGAGGAGTATACAGCCGTTAAACGCATACCTCTAGGAAAGAGGGAGGAAAGGGAGATAGATAGATAGATAGATAGATAGATAGATAGATAGATAGATAGATAGGAAGAGAGAAAGAGGAAGGGAGAGAGAGAGAGAGAGAGAGTTGCGGCGTGAGTTCACTCTACCGTATAATTCGTTCGCGAGAGACATCGAACCACGAAATTCGTAATCGATAGGTATCGCGTGTCTCGATGCATTTCGAACAAATCCTGCAAGCCGATCACCCAGAGACTTACCTTCTTTCTTTTTCTATATATATATATATCTCTCTCTCTCTCTTTCCTTATCTCTTTGAAATTCTTTGAAATTCCAATAACAAGAGAGACACCATTTTCTTTTATCATGACACTGTTCTTTATCGACTTGAAGTGACTTTTTCATAACGTTAAACAGTAAATGAAAAGGGAAAATAAAAGAAAAAAAGGAACAAAATAAAAACAAAGAAAAGAAATGATTGAAAATTAATTTCTCCATTAAATAAGTGAAATATTAATGAAACATTAATATTGTTTGTTTAATCATGAGAGAAGTTAAATCCTCCTAATGAGTAAACTCGTTTTTCCTTAATTAATATGTTAAATTTAAACGAATTTAGTTGTAAATTGTATTGATTATCTTGTCCTGTTGCGGAATAAATAAAAGTCGAATAAATGATTAATGAAATGTTATTAAATGATTTATTGTTTTAATGACGAATTTAAATATGTTTTATTTTCAAGATGTATTTTATCGCATCGTCGATTGAAAAAGCGATTATCACTTACGTTCTATCTTATATCTATTTTCCTTTTAATCTCGAGCTTCTCGTTAGCCTATAAGCACGTTCCGAGCTAATAACGGCTGACAATATCCAAGGCGTTTTCCCAGCACTTTACAATGCAAATTCGATCGCCGTTAACACGTTGGTATATCCAAGAGAGAGAGAGAGAGACAGACAGACAAAGAGAGAGAGAGAGAGAGAGAGAGAGAGAGAGATGATCCGTCGACGTCGGCTTGGTTCTGCGAAGCGGATATTAACCAAAGACGCTTATTACCTCTCGATATTCGATAATGATAATAATATCCGTACGTTAACGGGGTTGCCTAACCGCGGAGCAGTTCGCGTCTTCGATTTTGCGGTGGCACGTACGGTTTAATTTCACCAAAGTTCTTGAGTTCTTGAAAAGTATGTCTTCTCTCTTGGGTGAGAGAGAGAGAGAGAGAGGGAGAGAAAGAAAGGAAGAGAGAGAGAGAGAGAGAAAGGACGAAAGTACACATGCATATGCATGTATATGTACATACGAGACGACCTACCAACCACGTGTACGAATTAGCGTAATCTGAATTTAAACACGAACGGCAAGAAGGGTGCCACGTGGACGAGTAAAAAATAAAGTTTAAAAGATAAAGCTAAAGGAAGGAAAGTGCACGGAGGGTTGGTTCGGTGCGTTGAAAAAAAGAAAAAAGAAAAAAGGAAAGAGAACGAACAGAGAGAGAGAGAGAGAGAGAGAGAGAGAGAGAGAGAGAGAGTGAGAGAGAGAGAAAAGAGAGGGGAGTAAAAAAAAAAGAATACGAAAAGGGAGAATAATTTCTCTTTCTTCTCTTTTTCCACGTAAAAGAGAAGGGAAAAAGGGAAAAGAGAAAAATGAAAAAAAAAAAAAAAAAAAAAAACAGAAAAAGAAAAAGAAACAGAGATGAAGATAGAGAGAATGAAATAGAGTTGGTTCAGTGCCAAGTCATAGATAGAACCGCGTGGACGATTCGCGCGAAGGATTCTTAGATAACTTCCTCCTCTTATCCTTGGAATATCTTAGCTTGGATTTTCTCAGCTCCTTCGAGTTTGTCCCTCGTTAGGTTGACGCCCCAACTAAACTCACTCTCTCTCTCTCTCTCTCTCTCTCTCTCTCTCTCTCTCTCATTTCATTCTTCTTCTTCTTCTTCTTCCTTTTCCTTCTTCTTCGACTATTTCCCTTTCCTTATTCTACACGTCCCGCAGGAGAACGCGGAGTTTGCCGTTATGCGATCGCGAAAGCGGATTTCCTCCTGTGCATAGCCAACCCCCCTCCCACTCTTCTCCTTCTCTTCTTCCTCCTCTTCCTCCTCTTCCTCTTTCTCCTCCTGCTCCTCCTTTTTCAGCTTCTCTCGTCATATTTGTCGGGTTTCCTCTCAACCCAAATACGATGGCTCACGTGACCTCTTCACGGCCTCTCGAAATGTCGCCTATGCAAACTCACCGATATTTCGTTGGGATTCTCTCTTTTTCCTTTTCTTTCTCTCTCTCTCTCTCTCTCTCTCTCTCTCTCTTCTTTCCTTCTTCTTTCTCTTTTTTTTCTTTTTAAACTACACTTTTCTCTGCTTTAGATGTTCCGTACGAAGAGCTTCCTAGTTCCTCCGAGCTACGGAGAATCCCTTTTGTCCGATAGAACGAGGACCTGGATAAAGAGAGTAAGAAGGAAGGGAAAGCTCGTAGAAAAGCGTGCAAGCTCAAAACCAAGCTCGCTCCGATGCTTGTACTGGAATTAGTCTCGAATTACGGCGGATCGCTCGTTTAGTTCGCTTTCTAAATTAACTACGGAAGGAAACTCTGGAGTTCTTTCTCTTTCTCTCTCTCTCTCTCTGTCTTTTCTTTTTTTTTTCTTTTTCTTTCTTTTATCTCTCCATTCTTTTTTTTCTTCTGCCTCCCCTCCCTCCTTCCTTCCTTCCTCCTTCTTCTTCTGCTTCTCTTTTTTCTTCTTCTTTTTCTTTACGACTTAATGACACCCAGCACCGCTTTTCAGATAAATCACGAGTAGCTACTTCGTTTAAGAGCAAAGAGTAGCAGTGGATGGTACCACGGTGCTTTCTCGCGTCGTGCTTCACATACTAATTACCGTGGCCTCCTTCTTTTTTCCTCTCCCCTATGTCTCTCTCTCTCTCTCTCTCTCTCTCTCTCTCTCTCCTTTATCTTATACTTCTCTTCTTTCCTTCGTTTTCTTCGTAAGGGTTGAGCCGAGCTAGCGGCGAAAGATTTCCACCGGTATTAAGTTTTCTCAAGAGTCTGTACTGTTCCTTCGTACTGAGTATTTTCTATTTAATCGATAAAGTGGAAGTAGTAAATGGACGAGGTGGCCATTTATTTCTAAAGCTCTCTCATGATAATATTCCCGTAAGCATTGATTAATATTTTCAAACTAAAGACAAAATCTTACTTTGAATGAGCATTGGATCACCCGCCCGCCCGTATTCACAGTCAGATATACATGCAAATATTGTTTTGAAACTAATAAAATTATAATCGAGTTTTCAATGCTCAATTACAATTATATAAAAGATATCGATTTTCATACGATATACAAGATAGATCGCTAGATAGATATTTACATTTTGTTGTCATATATCATAATTAATTTACCTTTTCTCCGAAAGTATTAATACTTTAAAACTATCATATATATTTATTCTTCGCATATACCATTAGTATGTATCATATATGGTATACTTTTAATTTACAACAACAATTTTCAAAAGCCCGATCGATCGATCGACGTCGAGTACTTAATTGATGCGTATTAATGGACGATGCACGCATAACCTGCCGCCTGTACCCATCTAAAACTTTGTTATTCGTTCGATATAAATACACTACACGGAGATACCTCTTTTAATCGTCATTTTCATCAACGTTCAAATCCCATCCATCGCACCTCTTTTTAATCCTGGCATTATAACGAGAAATAACATTTCAATCCTCCTAAAGAGTTACATTTTGTTCGACAGATCGATGATTAACCCGTCAAAGGTATATATCATTATGGATATCTATACCCTATCTATGTTATTTTCTGGAACGCACGCTCGAAAGAGTACGTTACAATACGCAGGTGAAAGAATCGATGGGGTTATAAGTAAAAGTAGCTCGTAACTCGACTAACGATCGACCGTTTTCTTCTTCGCCGTTGTCGTCGTAAGCGAACGACCGGTGCGCCGTTATTTATTTGCGGATCGCTAAGTTCGCCATCCACTCACCAATCCCCTTCCACCGTTTACTATCACGTAAAATTCTCTTTAAATTAATTTTACTTGTATGATTTTTTATCCTTCTTTCTTTTCAATTTCTCTCTCTCTCTTTCTCTCTGTGACTTCTTTATATTTTTTCTTTTTGCATTTCTTTTGTTTTTTGTTTTTAATTTTACTATTGTCGAGAAATTCGAGACACAATCGTTAACTACGAAATAATCGAGGAACGAGAAGAGAAGTCTCGAAACGATGAATGTAAAATTGGAGAAAGTTAACTTTGTATAATTCTCTTTCTCTCTTTCTATTCATCTATCTATCTATCTATATATATATATCTTCCTCTTGGAAGGGTGTTTCTCGCAAAGTCTAACCAAGTGAACGTTTCCCCGAGTAATTCGTTATTATCACGCAAATGATCGTTACCATTCGCGAGTATTGCAAAATTGCAAGAGAAAGAGACAGACAGATAGACAGGATAGCTTAATTCTCCGAGGAATTCGCTTTTGCGATCGTAGCCAACTCTCTCGGCTAAAACAATTTGGTTTATGTTTAATAATACAACAGTCGAGTGCATTTAACGAGGGAGCGAGCTAGAGAAAGAGAGAGAGAGAGAGAGAGAGAGATGGTACGATAACTTTCTTTTTTTTTTTTTTTTTTTTTCCATAGCAGCAGCTACCTACCATTTTCTTTTTCTTTTCTTTCTTTTTTCAATTTTCTACTTTGTTCGCTGATCTCTTTCCAACCGACCAATTTTTGCACTTCTAAGCATTTTTCTCATACGATTTCTCTTTCTATCTCTCTCTCTCTCTCTCTCATTCTTTCGCATTCTCTCTTTCTCTTATGATCATTAAAAATAATAAAAATATATCACGAACTTTCTCCTACTTTATTTGTATTAAGCATATGAAATAGAATGAATTTTAACATTAAGATGTCAAAGTTTATGAAAGATATGAAAGTTCGAAGAAAAATGAATTCAAATCTTTTAATTATTTTCATAATCAAAACTTTCTAAATGATAAACCTTATCTTCCTCATCATTTTATCAATTAATCGTTGCTTTTGATATGCATGCATTGATGTATAGTATTGGAATACAATAAACATTGAAATATTTTGTATTAACGTACGTACGTACGGTACGTACCTAAAATGAAAAGCTTTATGAGAAATAACGAGACCGGGGAAATATGCGAATGAATGTATTCTCATCGAGGAGGATATAAAGAGAATAGAGAGAGAGAGAGAGAGAGAGAGAGAGAGAGAGAGAGACAGACAGACATTAAAAAAAGGGGAGAGGGAGAAAAAGAGGAAACGAGAAAAATCCCATAAACATTCTGATAGGCATGATCGCACAAAAGTTTTCAATCAAATTGCGAAGCAAAACCCTATTTTCATTGGCACACTTGACTATATATAATACCAGTGATTATACGACGTCCATGCTTGATTCCACGTGATTCACGTCGAATGAATCGTTGAAAACTGTCGCCCACTCCTCGTTGCATATGTATGCAACGAGTCAGGCAATTTTTAACGATGCTCTAACGGATGACCGTCATTGCGATGCCGATTTTTCACGAAACTGGGATTCGTCGAAGAGATCGGATCTACAAGCGATTTTAGTGGGACTACAGTCGAGTACATGCATTGCAATATATGATATATATATATTGTTTTATATATACATATATATATATATATATAAACATGAATTGCGTTTAACGTTATCGGGATGTTATAAGAGTATGTGATACCGATTGAACGTCGGAATATACGATGCCCTAGCGCGAATAAATTTTTTCTCCCTTTTTTTTTTTACTGTTTTTTTAACTGTTTTTTTATTTTACTGTTTTTTTCTACATTTTCTTTTTTTTTTTCTCTCTCTTTCGATGTCCACTTTATTTATCGTTCGATAAATTGGCGAGCCGATTTCGACGATAATCGGCGATGAGATAGATGGATTTAAATTTCGGCAAAACTAATGGAAATGACGATTTCCAATCTCGTCTGAATACGAAATTAGCAAAGCTTACACCGAAAGTAGAAATTTCCAAAGGAATTTTTTTTTTTCTTTTCCAACGTTTAACTTTTTTTAACGACTTTCTTTGTTCTATATATACTTATTTCTATCGTGCCTCCTTCGGATATGCAATTTTAAATGGGAAAATCGCGTTTTAGCAGGGAACGGGGAGACTTTTGGTTCGAGGGGAAAAATCTAATTTTGAATAGGAACAAGAAAAAAAAGAAGAGAAAGAAAAGAGGAAGAGGAAAAAAAGGGAAGGAAAAAAAAAAAGAAAAGAAAAAGAAACGACAGATTACATCGAAAGACATAAAGGAGATCGAGGGATAAAAGCGAGGCTTTCGAGAAATCGGCTATTTCCGAGAATGCTAGTAACGCTCGTGCAGTTCCGCTACCATTCCGATTCTTGAACGTAGCTTTTCTTTTTCCACTTCTTTCCATTTTTTCTTCTTCTTCTTCTTTTTCTTCTTCTTCTTCTTCTTCTCCTTAGAGAACGCGCGCGAAAGAAAGAGACGGAGAGAAGGAGAGAGAGAGAGAGAGAGAGAGAGAAAGAGAAAGAGAGAGAAACGATTGTGACTTTCAAACTTTCCACCCTCGTGACGTAGTTATTTCATTAAGAGTTGTTAGCGACCAATTTTTTTTCCTTCTCCCTTATTCCCAGTCGACGAGTTAAGACAAAGTTTACCTGCGATTTACTCGATTGCAAAACTAGCCCTAAAAATTACTTCGACGACACGGCTAAATCGTTAAAGGCGATAAACAACTCGTTAGAGAACTCGAACTGAACAATTGTTTTAACTATTCGAATGTTTCTATGAAAGAAAAAAAGAAAAGGAAGCACATTTTCTTCTCGTCTTATGAACGATATCTTACCTATATAAGTAACAAAGAAAGAAAGAAAGAAAGGAAGAAAAAGAAAGAATGAAAATAAAAGGAAAAATAAAACTATCCGATATCTGTGCTTTTCCAAATGCATTTAAAGATGGTCGACGCATACTGGGGTTGTACGTAAGCGTGATTACCATTTACAATGCGTTCTAAAATGCTTTCCCAACGGCGATTCAGCGAAAGACGCTAAATTGGCATTAACGCGAGGCACGTAAACCGTCGACGGCAGAGAAATGCCGTAGTTTCCAGAATGAGAGAGCGAGAGAGAGAGAGAGAGAGAGAGAGAGAGAGAGAGAGAGAGAGAGAGAGAAGGGAGTGCCCGAGAGAAGGAGGTGCCCGTGGCGAGAGACGAGCTCGACGTTGGCCTTCGGGATTCGCAGTATTAATTAATTATTATGCTTAATCGACGGACTAGTAGCAGCAACAGCAACAACAGCAGTACCAAAAGCAGCAGTATGGCAAAGCAATAGCAGCAGCAGCAGCAGCAGCAGCAGCAGCAGCAGCAGCAGCAGCAGCAACAGTAGTAGTAGTAGTAATAGTAGTAGTAGTAGTAGTGGTAGTACTAACAACAGCAAGAGAGAAAGGTGACGCGGTGGGACGAAGGAGAAGCGGAAAGGTGGGATGATGGTAAGGGTTGATGTGTGAGGCTTACACGCAGCGACCTTCTCTCTCTCTCTCTCTCTCTCTCTCTCTCTCTCTTTCTCTCTCGATGATTTCCATCCTGTTGCGAACGGCTACCGTATTATGGGGCGATCGGTCGATGGATTTTCCGGCGGTTAAATCGAGGCACGAATTAACTTCCAGTCGGAAGGTACGAGCTTGGCTTCCGGAATAAAGCCGACCTATCCCAACGCATGGCTAGCAGCAACAGTAGCGATGGCGGAGGCGGTAGTACCTCGACTACTCCCCCAATGTGCCTACCCTTTCGCTGTGTTTAAACTGCCCTCCGAACGCGTACCTCCAGTACTTCGCAATTTATGGAGAAGCACGTGTCGTCGCGGCTCGATTAATGGATTTTCTATCTTCTGTGAACGAATTCACGATTTCGATTTTGCCTATGCCGTGATTTTCGTTCTTTCAAGGATGATGATTGGAATAAAAAAAAAAACAAAAGAAAGAATGAAAGTAAGAAATGAAAAAAATTATCAAATGGAGAAAATGTTAAATTAGTTTTCTTTCTTTATCTCTCTCTCTCTCTCTCTCTCTCTCTCTTCTTTTTTCCTTTTTTCATTGGTTATCCTTTCGCAACATTTTCCCTCGAAGCTCTGCTTGTTAACCAAACGTTTAATGTAATCGAGTTTGTCGCGGCCGCGACGAAACTGCGCGAACGCATCCACTTCGCCTCCGGGCTTCGTATTTCTGTCAGAACACTCGAGGAAATATGAAACTTGGCGGAGAGTGGACGGTACTCGAATTCCCATGCGTATCCGCGTGCTTCTAAAACGAGCAAACTCCTACTCGAATATGTGGCCGATGGTGTCGTTTTCATATATCACACGGAATCGCTAATCAAGTTTATAGTATTTATCTCGACCGACGAGGATACAATCGTTTAATCATTGATTAATACTATCGTCGATGAAAATTTCATTAACGAAATTGCATGTTCTCCCTTTAATATTAATTAATTTAATGGCACAACTTTTATATCGAGAATCAATGAATATAAATGAGTAAATGTAAAAATAAAACGAGTACCGAGTTCTCGATCGAAGAAATAAATTCGATGAATAATAATATCGATACGAGAATTAAGATTCTCGTTCCTTTTTCTTTTTTCTTTTTTTTTTTTCTTTTTTTTTTTTCTCTTTCTTTATTTGTCCTTTTCCAGTTACCTTAATACCAATATTCGAAGAATAAGGCAAACGAGAACTCTCGAGTTGATTACCACGCGAGCCCGCAAAATCGTAACGCGTTGTCCCGCGGGCTACATACGCTAATGTTTCGCTGACCGCAGGAAACGAGCGGCAGTTAGCGCGTTAATATCATAAGCATAGCAGCCCTTTGCATCCCAAGAGAATCCTGCTCGACTGTGGCTTCGAAAATGGTCGATATTTCACCGTTAACAACCGACACGTACATACACGTTATATATATTCTCTCTCTCTCTCTCTTTTTCTCTCTTAGTGCTCACGTTGTCTTTCTCATTCTCCCTCTATCTCTCTCTCTCTCTCTCTCTCTCATCCTCATCCAAAAAGCACTCATACCAATGCTCTCTGTTCCTCGGAGTGCACGAGAGAAGCGCATCACACTTCGATCCCTCGACGATTCTCGACGTTCCAGTAACGTTCGAACAAGAGGAGAGTACTTAGCCGTCCTAAAAAAACATACCCACGATATTCTTCGTTAGAAAGAAGCGAATTTACTCGGTACCATCGTTCCCTTTCCTTCTCTAACAAACGAGAATCAACTATGTATAGTTGTGAAACACCATCCTCTACAACACGTCATTTCCGACAATCTACTCCTCTAAGTTTACTCAAAGACTGAATGTTATCATTGTATACTCTATATCTATCTATCTATCTATCTATCTATCTTTCTATGTCTATCTATCTTTCTCTATCTATCTATCCATTCATCCGTCTATGTTTCTATAATAGGTACGCGTTTGATTTTTGCTTAAAACCTTACTTAATTTATATTAAATGACATTTTCTATTATAATTCGTTATCTTTGATACCATAGTGACTCTTTTATTACCTTCGAGTCATTTAAATCGAGCTCCCTCGGTTACATATGTTCCGATAGATCATTCGAATGGGCTAACGTTATCGAAGTAGTTCTCGCCGGCAATTCCGAAGATGTTGATACCGTGCTTAGGGAATCCGCATATACGTCACTGTGAAAGATATCGTCTCGTTAGGAAGAAGTATGATACGTCAGAATGTTTCTAAGGTACTATGAAGATCGATTAACTATGAACTTGTTGATTTATTATAAAAATAATTCATCAAAACTCGATTACTTTTCTTTTTTTTTTTCTTTACAGAAATTCACGAGAGTACGTTAAAGAGAATAATAATATACAATAATCTTTTTCAATTCGAATGCCGTATTTTAATATGAAACGATATTAAATATCGATAAATATTCTGTTTCCCTCGATTTCTTATTTCTCGTTGTGAAGGAAATGCGAAAGAATACTTGAACGTTTCCTATGAAAGGAATAAAGCTCGAAATAGAACCTTTGCGTGATGGAATCACGCGAGGGCGTGCATTATCGTGATTAAAGAGGCAAGAATAGCGTTGTTATATAATAAGAGTCAAAGTATTAGATATCCGGGATATAAATGCCTGCCGAAGAATTATTATATACTTTCATCAAAGATCTATAATTAATATTGAGAAAATATGATCGTTCGCAAATTTTCACTCTATCGTATCCAATCGATTACATAATAATAAATTCTACGATAATCGATTGTCTTTACAATAATTAAAATTAAAAGGATATAAGAAAATGTACGTCTTACCTAGATTTTTCTATTCTATAAATGTACGAATGTACGCAGCATAATGGTACGAGAAGACGAGCGAGAATGAACACGTCCGTACGTCTAGTCCTTCAACGAACGACTGGCCTTTTGTTATCATACGATGTAGCTGTTTGTTTACTTTGAGACACGTACTTATACGTGTATTGTTTGTATTCATTATCTGGAATTAACAAAAACATGATCTGCCAAAACAAATACGAGATAATTACGTAGTTTGCTACAAATATGTAAAAGGGGATATATATATATATATGTATATATATGTGTATGTGTGTGTATTTATTTTTTACGATTTAAATATGAATAATGATAATAATTATATCGATGATAAGTAATGAAAATTAATATATGCTCGAACGATATTTTATTAATTAATATCAACTTTCTATAAAAGTAGTCTCTATCAAAATATTTGATAAGTATATATGTATAATATATATACGTGTATATATATATATATATATATATATATATATATATATATACATATGTATAGTGTCTTTTCCTCGAGAATGAATCAATGTCTATCGACGACATTCACTCGCGCGTGAACACACGTCCGTCGGAAATTACAAGCGGTTTCATTCGAGCAGCCAGTCACGTTCGTTCTCTTCGTTTCCTTCCTTCGTTGAATCAGGATTGAATTATGTACCTAACTAGACCGATCACCTACTCTCCACTAACTTCTGTTGTTAACTCGAATCTGGAATCAAAGAGAAATAGAGAGAGAGAGAGAGAGAGAGAGAGAGAAAAGGAGAGAGAGGGAGGGAGGGAAAATGTGAACATTGAGATACGTAAACGATTTTACATATAGGTAAACTTCATATATATATCTTTTATATGGACCATAGAATATCGATAATAAATAATATTTCTCGTGAAACTTTAAAAAAGGATTAATTAATAAGAAATTAGTGGAGAAACTTTATTAATATCGCATTTCTCGAATTCATTTTATTTAAATCAATTTGCAATTTATTTTCTTTTTCTTTCTTTTAACCATCCTTCTCTCTCTCTCTCTCTCTCTCTCTCTCTCTCTATATATATATATATATATATATATATATATATATATATATATATATACATATATCCTATAGGTATATCTATATGTCTATATCTTAATCGAATTTCGATAACATTCCGCGGACGTACTCGTATAAATAACGAAAAATTCACCGATCGAATTTACTCTATATTGTTAACGTTTTAATGAAAATAATTATCGGGTAGGATAACGTGTCAGAAGGTGAAAGAAGGAAGTTAAGTAAAAAAATTTCATTTACATATAGAATATTATTTAAGTTTTAATCCAATATTAGAGAGTTTCAGAAGTGAGTAATTCCTGTTAAACGTTCTTACGCGAGAGGAAAATATATCAACTGAAATGGGAATGGTCCTTTATCCGTTCACCAAATACAACGGGCTCGTTTGAAACAACGAGACAACATTGGTAATCCTTAGCCTCTATACTCTATATCTAACGTTTGTCGTTTCACCCTCTCGTTGTCGTTTCAATTGAGTGGAATAGATCCGTCAGTGACAAAACCTACGGATTTTCTTTTTTTTCCCCCCCCCCCCCTCTCTTCTCTCTCCCTCTATCTCTATCTCCTCTTTCCATATATCTTTCTCTCCTCCTTCGCATATAGTCGAACCGTAAGAAATATAAATTTATCGAAATATAAATAGGCGAGAAGCTTACGAACCGAAAGAGACACGTTAAAAGAAAATTCGATCATTTTCCTATGACCTATCGAGAAAGGAGAAAACGTCTTTGAAGAAAATCATTCCGGTGTGCAACCCCTTCAAGGATCAAATCAAGCGTAGAGTATATCGTACATTTTTAAGCTCCAACCCCTCGTATACCAGCTATTTTAATTGAAGAGACACGCGAAAAGAAAAATCGTCGCGTCGATCTTTTCCTCCTTTTCTCACTCTCTCTTTTTTATTTTTTTTAATTTTTTGTTTCCTCTCTCTTTCTCTTTTTTTTTTTTTTTTTTTTATACCCCGTCGAATAACCCTGTTTATGGATTTTCCTTTTGTACGATCGAACAATGAAATAATAGATAGATGTGTACGTCCTTTCAATTAAGTAGAACAAATCAATGTCGAAGTTGACACATTTACAAAGCCTTTTCCTAGTATGGCCATCCGAATTGTTTGACGAATTTTAGTTTAGAGGATCTATGATTTATCATCGATCCATCGAACGGGCAATACATCTCCGATGAAATTGTGCGTTTTATACCGGGAATAGCTCATAAATCCGTACCGGTTTCCAAATTAACAATAAAATCATGTGTACGCTTCGCATGTTTTCTGTTCGTTCGCAAGAGGAACATTTTATTGAAATATTTGGCAATATAAAAGAGAGGAAACAAAAAGAAAAGGAATGAGAGGAATACAATTTTTTTCGATAACGTAACAATGATTAATATTTTCTATGGTTATAAGTGATTATTATATAAAATCAATCTTATTCTTAGAAAATTATACGATAATTTGATCGTAACGAAGTTAAACGGTTACCTTCAAAGTACGTGACTCTTTGGAAAATTCCAACGTTAAATCAATTTGCAAATTGACGAGGTTATTGAATTACTGTACGTATATAGTTGTTAACGTAGCGTGTAAACGATTGTGTCCCATCTCTCCCTGGGCTTTGTAATAATAATTATTCTTGCGGTTCGAGTTCGTTGTAGAAAAGAGGAATTGCACGTAAAATACACATAAAAGGGACGGAGAAATTAAAAGAGATAAAATGACGAGGAAACGCTTAACGAGAATCCAGAAGAAGAACAAGAAGAAGAAGAAAAAATAAAATCAGGGAAAAAAAATATAAGACCGACGTTTGTAATTCATCTCGGGAATCTTATAACGTTCGTAATCTGATCATTTACGTGACTCGTCTTACAACGAAACATGACATTTCAGTGTAGATTAAACGAACGATGTTGAAAAGGAAGAAAGCAAAAAGAAAAAACAGAGAAAAAAAAAAAACAAAAAAGGGATAAATAAATAAAAAGGAAAAATAAAAAAAATAATAATTAACGATGTACAAATGGAATGCCTTTGAAGAGTTTCTTACTTTTTTTTATCCATAAAACTGGATGGAGACGTGTAAATAAATAAATAAATAATTATAATGTGAACAATTAAAGATAGGAGAGAGAGAGAGAGAGAGAGAGAGAGAGAGAGAGAGAAAAGAAATGAGATAATTATAAGAATGAGATCGTTCGTAATAAATTTAATTGGAAATATCAAATGATCCTCGTCATAAAGGAAAGTAGGAGGACTTAGAAATTAGGTAATATACAATAAAAGGAGGAAACGAGATTAACGAATAAGAGGGAACTTCTACTCACGTCGTACCTTTCTCGTAAACGGCCATGACCGACTAGAGTATACTCGAGCACGCAAACAAGAGAGGAACCGCGAAAGAGATCACGGCCAGGGTAAACGCCGTGCTTACCTCAGCACCGTTTCGTGGATGAAAATGTCCCACTCCAGGCTAGTGGTCTCGTTTTACGTGCCCACGCTAATGACTACGCGATTCGCTAACGACGTAAACGGGGCCAGCCCTCTTACGCGGTCTATTATATAAATCCTTTTTCCAAGACTCTCGTTTATTGGAGAGAAAATTTGCTTCTTTTCTTTTCTTTCCTTTTCTTCTCTTATCCTTTTTATTTTTTTTCTTTTTTATTGTCTTGGACTAGACGACCTCAAGATAATTGCTCGTTCGAATGAATTAGAGGAAGAAATTGAGTATTTTTCCGTTTCGACGTTTCACTTCGTTCTATTTAATTCTATTCTCTCTCTCTTTCTCTCTCTCTCTCTCTCTCTTTCTTTCTTTTTCTTCCTTTCTACTTCTTTTTACAAATTTTCCAAAGAGTAGATTACTACCGTTGGAATAGCTTTATCGACATACCTTTGATATTTCTCTTCCGCACGTATTTTGTATCGCACCAACGAGAAAAGGAATTGCAAAAGTAAAACGAGAGAAAGAGAGAGAGAAACACACACACATATATATATATATATATATATACATATATTTCTTTTTCCAGTGGAAAAGGAAATCGGATGTACTCTGTCTGTGACCTTTCGAGCAAATGCTTTGAAAACCGCTTAACCACGTCGGCGGCGCGTCGTTTCGAAAATTAAAGCTCGCACGGTGCATCGAGAACTTTTCAAGATCGCGAGAGCTTAATCGAATTATACTTAAAAGACTCGCGTTTGTAGGAGAAGACGTAATTGCCAACGAAAAGCTTTTTCTTTTATCTTTTCAAATGAGAACGAAAAAGAAGCATGATTTCCATCTATTTTGATCTATCGAATCGTCGAAACGAATATAATAAAATATTCAATTGGCCAGTGGATCATAGATTAGACGAGAACAATTATGAAGCACATTATAATCAAATTAATTGCATCAATCGAATATAAGCGATCCAAAAGAAAAAGAACTCAATCTTATAAATTAAATATCTATGTTAATTTAAAAGCAATCAAAGATTCAATATTGGTAAGTACATTGATAAAAAATGAGGATCGTGTGAAACAGTGAAGTTAAAACGAAACGCAATGGCGATTAATTCGATGAAGTACGTTTTCTTCGTGTTTATCTTGAAAGAAACATCGACGAATAAAGAAGATAGTATCGCGAAGCTGCAAAGGCTTTCAAACGGAGGAAAATACGATACAATAGAAAAGAGAGAGAGAGAGAGAGAGAGAGAATAGTGGATGCTGGGCGATGCAACACAGCGAGCATTTGCTCCTGGCGTACCCCGAAAAGTGCAAATAATTGCCGACAATTTACCGGTTCACAAATTGGAAAACGTTACTCGTTAACCCGATGAATTAAATCGCCATTGACGTTGGGAAAAGAGGGGAACGAGCTGATTCGAGGAAGAGAAGGGAAAAGAGAAGGGAAAAGAGGAGGGAGAGGAAGGAGAAAGAGGAAGAGGGAAGATGGAGGGCTCAAATGGCTCTTGCCGCGTGCACGTGGTACATCGATTCGCAAAACGTATGAACGTACAAACGTGTTCGGGCTACGAATGAGACGTTTTCAAACTTTTACGATCCTACTTCTCTTTAACGTGCCCTTTATAAATCCCTTTACACGCTCCTTTGATCTTTTAACGTCTTTTAAGGACAAGTATCGACCTATCGACCTATCGAACGAACGAACGAACGAATAAACTCGTGTTTTCCAATGGTATATTTTTCATTAAGTTTCCTCTTTTTCTCTTTTTCTTTTGCCCTTTATCCTTTTTTTACGTATTGCGCGACAAAAAAAAATGGGAAAATGAGAAAGAGAAAAAATTCGACGTCCGAACAAATTCGAACATATTATATTACGATTTACGCGGGCAAATGATCAGCTTTCCTTTATTTTCTTTTTTTGCTCTTATCTTAGGAATGTTTAAAAAAAATTAAAAAAAAAAAAAAAAAAAAAAAAAAAAAAGCAAGAAAGAAAGAATAAAAGGATATCTAGCAAGACGGAAAATATTTCCTAGGAAAGGAATATTAAGCGTGAAAATATTCGCTGATTCAGAAAATAAATAGTAAAAAACATTGAAAAGTAATTGCTTTTTTAGACTTTTCAAGAAGGACGGGTGCGAGCTTTCTTTAACAAGCACGTTGACATTTTTAGGGCGAAAGTTTACTTGCAGTTTCTTAACTACGGTCTAAGCTATGAGT